GATTGCAAGAAGTTTGAGCTGGCCAACATGTTAGTTTTTTCATATGGTTGATTACTGGCATGTGATTTCCCATTTTGAGCCATATTTTCAACTTTCTTCGTCATTTTCATATAGCAATCTCGTCATATGTTAACATTGTCGTCTATGGAAATTCAATTAGTGGTATGAGCCCCACAGCGCGACACGCATCCTTGAGGGATTAGGCAGATTCACACCTTTTAACAATAGCGTTTCCTAACAGTCTCTTTTAGTAACCGTGATGAAACTAACAATTGAGCTAACATCACAAAGCTTTGCAATCGCTCTAGACAGAAATAATCCCAAAACATCATCATAATCTACTTATATGTCCAATTTCGTCATAGAGGACGCACAAATATTGCGACAATATTAGAATATTATCACACCGTAAATTATTGTTTGGATAGAATAGGACTATATTGAAAGCTATCTGTATTGATTGATCACATGCACTGTTATGAAACTTTGACCCCCTGGCCTAATTTGCATATCACCTGACAAATAAAAATAGTTGGCAGCCAGCTTGGATCATAACAATCAAGAAGGTATTTTTTACATGCTTGTAATGAAAGTTACACAATGTGCACTTCCATAAATTACCTCCATTTCAAGCATTACATCATAGATTTATAGTATGATTGCACTTGTCTATAGCGTACAGTTAACAAGACAAATATCACTCAAATGACAGACCACAATGGGAGGCAGGCATTCATGAAATCAACTTGCAATCTAATTTGACAGCAATACATGCTATGCAGGGCACACAGAGATTGAGACAGTATTCTGCACAAAACACTACAGTAGTTGTGTGTAATAAAAATTTAATTGATATCTATAAGAATATGTATATAATATCAAAATGTTTTTTTTTTTTTTTTATAAAAGTATGGTGATTGTGATAAATACTACATTTTATTACTTTAGATATTGACTTATTATTATCTAAAAATGTGTTTATTGTCAGGTGGGCAATTCCAAACTGATAAATACATTACATTATTTACAGAAAAGAAACAAATGTCAAAGTTTCACCCGATTACATTTAATTATTCATCATATTATTATTTCTTTTCAGGACGTAATCTTTTATTCCTATTATTATTACTCAAGTTCTAAGTGTCTGATTATTTAACAATTTTGACTATGATCTTTCAATCGTGGAGTTCTGTATCTGATTTATTAACTAGTATTTGGCATGAAACATTTCAAATGTTTGTCATGATTATATAAAATTAAATATTTTTTTTACAAATGAACATTCTAGTAATTAATGCCCACTAGACCTACATGACTATTTTACTGTTAGAGCACCCTCAAACTAAACTAATGCCTAGTAACAATTTTATTTGGTATTCTGAACACCTAATTATTGAAAACTATGCTATAATTCAGAGTCAGTTGACAACAAGTAGACCACAATACATTTTTATCCTTGCACTTAAAAATTAAAAGTTTTAATTTTCTTAAAAATTCTCATTAAAAATAAGATTTTGTGTTGTGTATTTAAAAGATACTGAAAGATTTTAATGATATCCTGAGCAAAATATGTCGCAGACATTTCTTATGTATTTTAATATTTTGTCGTGTGGATATGGCGTCTTCTACTTGGAGATAAAGACCTTGCTCTTGATCGACGTGGACTAGTTCCAAGAATTCCTCGCGCATCCGAGAAACCATCTTTCAAACCACGCTCCATATCTGTGAGACTGTGCTCCAGGGTGTGCGTAGTGAAGGAATGAGAATGGTGAGCTTGAATCAGCTTCTCAAGACGTGCAATGATTTCGTAGTCGGGAACCGCCAAGGTACCAACATCTAAACCAAGCATACGTGCCATCACTTGACGGAAATCAACAAGTTGGCGTTCACGTCTTGCCGTTTCTTCAAGTAGCCGTTTCGTTGCTCTCAGCTCGTTCTCTACTTGGACCAGAGCTGTTTCGACACGTGTTCTCTCTTCAGTAACTTCATGTTCAGTAAATTCCAATTCTTGTTTGATGCCGGTAAGTTTACGTGACTGTTTTTCTTTGGTTCTCTCCAGATGATCAATACTGCTCAAAAGTTGTTCAATTTTTTCTTGTTGATCCAAAGTCTGTATCTGAAAGTGAATTTAGATGTGTACATGTATATTAGAGTTTATCAATGTACACCATTGTGAATTCAACAAAGTGATATTGCAGTGATGCAGTCACACATATATTTCATACAATTATTATTCAATAAATCTTTTGACCAATATGTTGCGTTTAGGAATCTACAGCAATTAAAGATGATGAGATCCAAGTTTTCAAACTGCATCATAGTAATCACCTAATCAATAGAATATTATATAATTACTTGAATGAGTGTCAATTATAGGTGCATGTATATGGTTACCTTCAGATTGCTGGAATTTAAGAGCTCGACTTTGAGATCTTTTATGGTTTCTCTGGCAGTTCCCAGTAATCCTCTCAATCTCTCATTCTCTTTTCTCAACTTTTTGTAACTGAATTCCAAATCATCTCGGTCTTTTTGCAATCCTGATCGGCCATGCAAACCTTCTTCTAAGTTGCTGATCTTCTTCCTGAGCAGGTCAAGATGTAAGTCTTTGCTGTCTAACTGTTCTCTCAGATTCTTCACTTTACGTTGCAGAGTATATACAGCAGTCGTCTTGTTAGCTACAGCATCACTCTCCATTCGTACCAACTGACTTGTGCGGGACATCAGAGCATCTTCATACATATCAAAACCAACATCTGAAGCCATTTGATCAACCTTCAAGATGGATGCCATCTTCTGCAAAAATGTCATATACTGTTCAAAGCAAAGAAAAAACAGCACAGATAACCTCTAGTAGGAAGAGGAGTGTGATAGTAACAGTAGTGACTACAAGAATACATGTAGTGCAAGCGTTGAATATTTACAAAAATATTATGTGACAAAACAAACTTTTTAATTAATTGTTCATGCCATTTATTCTATTAACATTCATTTTCCTTATACACAAATTGACTTATATATAAAAGGGAAGGATCATTTATTATCTATAACTGTACATGCAAAGGTGCTTGTGAGAATATAACAAACAAAATATTCATAAGGCATGATGATCATAATTGTACACAACAGTACAGACACTGCATAATATTATACATCTCAAATCTGAGTTTCTCAACAAATTATTATTCTTATGGATTATTAGACATGTAGAGTTTTAGATGCTGTAAAAAATAAAGGTCAAACGTCAAATACAGGGTTTTACTGATGGCCATTTTGTTTTTAGAAGTAGATGTATATCAATATGTGATATGCACATAACTGTGCTAGTATAATACCCACAATGCAATTGTTACAACTGTAAATCGCTTTAATTTCTTGCGAGAAAAAATTTCATCAATTTTGCAAAGCAAAATTTTATAGTGCTAAACTTTTAAGTGTCAGTGACTTTATCAAAATGTTGTCTTCATGAATTACGTAAAATCCTGAAATAATTGAAATTTCAAAGCAGCAAAAAGTGGTTTACAGTGTCTTGATGTTGGTTAGTGTAATAAGCAACATCAAATTGTTAAGTGAATATTTATTATCTTTACAGTAAACAATGTTAACTAACCTTTTCTTTATCTGAAAGAAGACCATCTCTGAGGACTTCTCTAGTGGCAAGTTCTCCTTCAAGACTATGCATTCTTCCTCTGTGTGAATCAAGTTCAAACTCTGCTTCTTTTGCACGACGAATTGCACATTGATGTAAATTAACTTGGCTTTCCAGCTGATCAGTCAAAGTCTTCAGTTTGTTTTCCAATAACTCTACACGCTACAATTAATAAAAAAACACAATTTAAATTTTAAAAAAGCACTTATATTAAACTTGTTGGGTCATATGACATGGTCACATAATTGCTTGCATTCAATAGTAAAAGGAAATATGTGAAATAGACACAGCACCATCTGTAGTCAACTGTAAATTAAATAATATATTTCTCTCACAAATGCATCAGTGAATGGGTATACCATGTTTACTAGAGTATGTTACAGGATGGGTTAAATACAAAACATTGATACTTACTGCATCTTTTTCCCGAACCGAGAGGTGGAGTTGTCTTACTTTCTCTTTAATAGATTCTTCATCGTATGACATAAACGAATCACCTAACAGAGCTGCAAGCGACTCTTTCAAGGATCTCAAAGAAGCTTCAGCAACCTGAGCATTATACTGATGTGTCTTCAAATCGTGATCCAATGCAGAGACTCGTGTATCTCGATGTTCTAGTTCCATACGAGTGGATTCCCAGGCTCTTCTGTTAGCTTCCATGCGTTCTTTCAGTAATTGTACTTCACGTTCTAATTCATTTTTCCTCATCATAGCTGAATCTCTTTCCTGTAATAGTTACCATAATTACGATTCAACATTTAATAACACACACACAAGAAAGGATAATAGCACATTGCAAAGTAATACAGTGATTTTAATTCACTTCAATTAATTCACTTCATAACAATAAAACATTGTACTTACAACTCTCATATTCTCTACTGTAGATACGGTACTGGATACACTCTTCTGTTCACGTGATATTTCAGAAACAAGTCTCATAATGGTTTCTCTGCTGGCCTTGGATTCTAATTCAGCACTATTCAGATGCTCTGTCAAAGTATTCAGTCTGCCTCTCAGAAGTAAGTTTTCTTGAACCAGTTCATTTACCTTTTAGTTGACAAATAAAAGACACATTATATAAACATGTGTTTTAACATGACTGTCTCATTTCATTATGAAATGCATACAGTAATATCACAAGATGATTATCTGTTATGAAAACATGTTTTCCAACACTGCAAACATATTTGTCATGGAAAACACCTAACTATCAAGGCTTGCTTGACTGGTAATTAAGGGGTGGCTAGAAGAGTGTGACCAGACCTGAGCAATATTGTTTGCAGTGGCTTATTTATACATTTTTATTTTTCATGCATATGCCAACATTTTTTTCCCTTGCATGCAATTTTTTTCTCCTGGTGCCAAGCCTGCAAATTTTGTTTTCAAATAAATCTTCCAGCCACCCCCATAATATCAAATGGGTATCATCTAAACAGTTTATTTCCCTCCATATTTACATATATTCAATATTTTTATTTACCCGACTAGAGATCCTTTCAAAACCACCAGTGAGTTGACTACTCCCATCAATAGCCAAAGCACGACTCATTTCCAAACTCAGCTCAGAGAACCTCCTTTCAGCATCAAGTGCTTTCTGTACAGACTCTTCTTTCTCTATTGTCATGCTACGAATTCTGCTTTCCATTTCCAAAATACGATCTTGATGTTGTCTATTTTCTCTCTGAAGAGCAGCAATAGTGATCTCTCCTCTGGTATGAGTTGTTTCCAAGGAACCAGTTTCATTTTCAATAATACGTAATCGCTCTCTCAAAGACTCAATGAGAGCAGCCTGACGACTCTCATTCTCTTTATATGTTCCAATTTCTAACCGCATATCTTGCAGCTGCAGTTCTTTGGCTGTGAGTTTTGATTCAACATCTCGAATCTGTGAAAGAAACAGAAAATTGTTTGACTTGAATTGAAATAGGTATGCACAATGCAAAAGTTGGGATAAGTTATTATATACTAAGCCTTACTCTGGTTTTGGACATAAAAACAAGCCCAATAGTGTCATTTTCAATTGATCCATCACTTTACAAAAATGGAAGAAATGAAAAAACAAGAAAATTGAAAATTCAATGTGCTACTGTCAAAGAACATGTTTTCCTGATGTTTAATTTATATTTCTGTGGGTAAGAACACACTTTTAAATAATGACAAGTTTTTGCAGAATAATTCATAGTTTGAAAATTACTCAAATTATTGAAGGCAAATCAGAATAAAATTTGCCATTGGTGAAGAGTCTGCTGAAGCCAAGCAAATCCATGTGGTATTATGCAAAAATTATGCAAATGACTTCTATCCAATAGGTCAGTGCAAGAAATTTATTATTTATTGAAATAATAATTACCAGTAAAATAAAACAATCAGTGATGTAAGAACAAATGATATATGACCTATTTGGCCTTTGCAAGCAACTTGCATATACATACAGTAGCTAAGTAACCAGTGAATTCTGTAACTACCTTTCAGTAATTATACAAATAGAAGTAAGTGACGTTACCTCTGACATAAGTCTGTCATGCTTCACCTGCAATGCCGTAAATTCAGATCTTGTAGATTCAGCCACAAATCTTTGCTGTGAAGGTGATCTACTGCGAGACAGTTCAGCAGAATACAAGGCTTCAATCTAGAAATAAAACATATGTTAAATCAATGATATATTTGGTAAAAGTAGAGTTTGATGCCGAAGGCACACCCTAACACAAGTAATAGTGGTTCCATGTAAATAGCAACGCTATTTATCTCATGACAATGGTTTCCAGTGGACATGAATAGGAATGTATTGTGAGGACAGACAACAGTTATATATAAATGACCTGCAGACTGAGGCCATATATTTAACCAGAAAAACGACCCAAGTATGAGATTAATTTGTGTAATGTTTAGATTAATTGCATGTGGTACTTACATTAGAATCATCTACACTGCGTCGTCGTAATCTGGGGGATTCCGGAGCTCTAAAATTAATTATAAACAACATTCTAACATTTAATTTAAATGATACAATTACAAACAATATTCTAATAATTTATTATTAATTATAATATTATGGCATCTAAAATTTTAGCTGCACGAATTATTATTATCAAAATCGCTGTTTTTGTCATATCTGACTAATAATACTATGTAACTGTCAGCATACTGGTAGTAATGATGCAAAGCGACCATTCCAAAGTGATGCGTTGTGTTTGGATATTGTTCCATTATCATGTTAATAATGTTAGAAGAGAAACTAAAGCATTACCTTGTTAATTCAGAAACTAGACGGTCTTTCTTCTCCAACTCAGACCTTAGAAACGAAACTTGGTCGTGAAGCTACAAAAAAAAAAAAAAAACAAAAAAAAAAACGTAGAAATACGACGATTAACTTGATTTAAACTACTGGTCGAGAAACCCATTGTTCATTTTGTTTGTCAAACAACGCCGATCTTCGTGAAATACATACCTCTTGTACCATTCGATGTGCTGTCGGTGGGGGAGCTGGTGTGTGAGGTCCCCCAAGTACAGGGCTTGCTGATCGTAGGTGCAAAGACGAAGGTGCCGACCGATTATGAATCCATCTATCCGCGCTACTATCGTGGAAGGACGATTCGTCAAATCGGGTTAGCTTACTCCCTCGGTAATGTGAATCAACCAAACCATGGCGAGGAGGCAGTCTTGGTAAACCATCAAGGTGACCGTCTCTAAAATACGAAGACATGACTATATTTGCGATCTCATAAAACGTAAAAACGGACCAATGTTTGGCTTAGGTTATGGTGTATTGGAGTTTCAAACGGGAGTGAGACTGTAGTGAAGTACAATGTGTATATCGCGTGGTCGGCCTGGGCAACGCGAAATAAACACAGCAAAATAAAACAACACACGGTCTCGTTTTCATCCTAATTATCATAATTATTTAAAACCTTTTCATATGCAAATAATGTATAGAGGGCGCTAAGCTTTTTCCCATAGTTCTTTACAACTACTTCCGTTGCCGGAGTAAATGTATGAATCGCTCACCATATCTAAGAAAAAGCAATGTCTTATAAGTTTAATTCCTTAGCAGGAAGGTTAACCAAGTCAAGCGCCTTTGCGGCTTACATTCCCCAGGTGAGCGTAATAGTATATGATTTGAATGACAAAGAGCAATTGTCAGTCTGAGCGACGACTTGACCTAAACGAAGCCGGTGAGTCGGTCAGATCATGGACGTATTAGTATGATGATATGTGTATCTTACAGGTCGTTTGGACCCCTAGCTGCAGTTCTGTAGCTCGCTCGCTTGGTTTCGCTGTCGGTTATTTTGTTCGTCGTGGTGTTAACGCGAAACCAGGGAGCTACAGTTCCATCCTATGCGAGTTACCATATTTTACCGACCTGAAATCAGGTCGGGCCGTAACAGCCGTTTTTTTTTCATTATTTTCGCCTCAAGTTTCTACTTTTCTACTGTCGATGGGTCCCGAAACTATTTCATCAATTATTTTGAGGGCGATTGTCCGAAATTGGTCGTTTTCACGACGAAAACTGCGTGATCCCTCGACGCCACAATCCTCAACATTTGATCCTAGCATTATTTTATTGGGTAAAACGAGAAGATACCTAAATTTAGCGATAGAATCGCGAATTACGGCGACCCCTCGACGTTTCGACCCCTTCACAGTAGAACTGTCACAAACGTTTGGACCCACTATTATCACCAATAAGAATAAAATGTATAAAATTAGTTTATAAAAAAAACAGAGTTGCAAATTACAGCGGCTATCTTTTCTGATCGAGCCCTGGGCGTTGGAGAGAGTTTCGCGATTCTGTTGCCAAAGTCAGGTATCTTCTAGTTTTATGCAGTAAAATGTTGCAACTTTTGACAAATAATGCGTAATTCCCAACACAGTCACTCGAGCAGTTACCCTATCACAACTTCTGATTCGTGGTTGTGGGATTGGCGTGATTGTTTACCCTACGGTACGGTTGTATCACAACTTTTGATTCCAGTTCCCATGGTCACTATGTCAATTCACTACATTCACTCACAGTCCCTCCACAACAAAACAAAAATGCTGAAAAACCGCGAGTTTTTGCCTTGGTTATTTTTTTATCAACGAAAAACTGCGAACTCGCCAAATTTGGTTGCACAATTTCCCTATATCATATGCTACCAGCGACATCGATGCCAGCTGACTGTGGTTCAATTATCCACCATAGACTCCGGTCAGTCAAAATGACTATTTTGAACTGTAGGCAATAATCAGCGATTCTGCCAATGACAGAGAGATAGAATCTAGGTCAGGGGAAGCCCCATGACCCCAAGAAAAAACCTGGGCATCGTAGCTTAATCACTTGTTGATTGCGTTATGTCACCTTTTACTACTGTAATTCGCTTCCCTCATGCATGTCGTCTTTATTTTATGCTTGATCTACGCATGGAGGTAAATAGTCTCTTTTTACCTCCATGATCTACGTATTTAGAAATGAATAGATGTAATGACAGCTCCATGACTCGCTGCCGTTTTTTTTTTGTCTCCTCGTTTTCGAGTTGACTGTACAGTGGTTATATTCAGAATTTGCCAGCATAGAACCTGCATTCGATATTCTTTTTGCCGTGGCTGTGTGCGAGGTTCTGGGTCCTTGCCTTGAAGGCGTGTGTTTGTTGCTGGAGTTCTGAGGCCTGAGATTTTTTTTCAGAGCCATCAAAATCGCTGAGTCTGACTGCGTCGCTCGTATTTTCACAGCAAGGTCGCGCGTCTGTAGGATTTGAGTACGAAAGAAATGCAACCAGACGACACTGATTACCCGTGTAGAACTACTTTATTTCACCTCTGACCCTGATACATGATATTCAAATTAAAGTACATTTGAACTATAGAGGGTGCTATGTCATCATGACATTATGCTGAGTAAACATTACATCTCTTTGCACCTTGAATAAAACGAGTATATTGGTAAATCAGGCATTAGATGTTGTCAAATGTCATCAATGAGCGAGTTCTCAGTATTTCAATTACTTAACTGGACAGCAATTCAAAATCATGAATTTGTAAGTTCAAGTAAATTACAAGTAAAATCATGGATTTGTAAGTTCAAGTAAATTACGAGTGAAATCATGAATTTGTAAGCTTGAGTAAATACAATGAAATATAAATTATACACTACATTATCAAAACACATTAAACTATTAAAAGTTCAAACCTAACTTAAGGGGAGACGTTTCTAGCACATTCACCCTCTGCTAAGTGATGTACTCTTGCAGGTAGGATGGCGGCTTGCGTTCACGAGTCGGATAACGTGGTGCAGGAGGGCTAGGTGTGGTCTCTGGATCATTAGTAGTGTCCCGAAATCAGCTGGAATATCATTTTCTTGCTCATCAATTTGTGTTGGAGGTTGGCATTTGAGGGTCTTGAAGAATGATGAATTTCTCGTTATCTTATGGTCACTTCTAGTTGCAGTAATCATGCTGCCTTGGCGGAGACTTTATATGGTTTTGTAGCGTATGGCGAAACTTATTTCGGAATGTATCCTTTACGTCTGGCTAGTACGGTCTCGCCAATTGCAATATGATACCATCCCTCTATTGGCCAGGTAGCAGGCTCCTTCGTCGACCTGTTTGACAAAGTGGGTTTGTCCTACGCAGCGATCGTTGGCTACAGGTCGGCCTTGTCCCCCACCATTGAGAACATACGGGAACAAGACTAGCCGATTGTCCTATTATTAAGAGACTATTTACTGCTTTCCAGAACCGCCCAACTGGGACTTGTCGGTTGTGTTGTCCACTCTAAGCAAACCGCCCTTTGAGCATCTCCGATGAGCACCACTCACTACTACGACTGTATTAGAGGTCTATAATACTTTAACTGCCTCGACACAGAGCTTGCAGAGACACCCAAGTATGAGCGCATGAGTTCTGCGAGATTTATAACTCACTAGTGCTAGCGTCAGCCCCCAGGCAAGGTAAGACACCACCCTTTTCGGGTCTTAACTAAGGTGTTGAGTGATTACTGTAGAGTGTTTCATCCCGGACTGGGAAACTACTTTCATCATTTTTCTGTTTGCTCGAAAGCACATACTCGCACATGGTGAACATTTTGGCCTATAGTACTTGAATGGAATGAGAACATGTTTCGGCAAAGCGTTAGCTACCAGTGTTGCCGAGACGCACATTCGTCGTGGATTAGGCTGATTGACACCTCTAAACAATAGCGTTGTCAGTCTGTTTATTAGTTGTCTGAGCTTCCAGTAAAATACCCTTTGTCACATGATTTCAAATGCTCTAGACTCACTCCACACAATATGATTTCTGATGCTGGTTCTCTGATTATTTGTTCTTTTCTCTTTCTACTTTTTTTCCAAACATCAAAGCATGAAGTGGAGAAAAGAGCATAATGGGATAACTTGAATTCAATGCAATTTAGTAAGGCAACAGTCATGACATGATAATAAAATAAATTGGTATTTACTAATACTATATGGGGCAGTCATACTGTAATACTGTAAATGTATTAATTGTTCACTGGGTATTATTATTTCGCTATTTTTGTGGATAAGTAAAATCTTTAATACATGAATATGTAAAATATCAATAAAACTTGTTGTTTCCTTGACAAATTTGTGAAATTAAAACACATTGCTTAAAACTTCAAATTAGTAAAATTAAATGTCAGTGAAAATAAATGGTTTTACAGTACGGCTTAAATGAACACCTCATTACACGTAGAACCTAAACACTTTCTCTGGGTACTAGTATTTAAAACCAAAAATATCGTTCAACGTAAGGAGCCAATCAGTGACATTCTTACAGTTGATCAGTTATTTTGGTTTCAAATCTGAATAACCTGTTTCTTATTTTTAGGGGCCCAAGCCTGTAGGGCGTGGCCCCTATTCTTATTTTTCGTTTTTTAGGGGCCCAAGCCCGAAGGGCTAAACCCCTATTGTTATTGTTCAGTTTTTCCTTTCTTCTTTTTTTCTTCCGTAATTTTCTTTCGTCAAGTTGTTTGAGAAAACCGCTGAACGAAATAGTCTGAAACTAAGAATACTTTGTAGTCCCTATTGTGCATAAGACTTTGATAAGATTTTGATTGGTCAATTAGTTCGGCAGCCATATTGGATTGAAGTTAAACAGGAAGTGGCTATTTAACCACTTTCTGAGGGTCTAAGAGATCAGGTTTTTTTATGGCATATAGTACAACTCATGTGTAACAGATATTTGAAAAAAAATTCTAAACGTAAACCTCAACTTTTTGCGCTATGTTTTTTCTCCCAAAAACGGGGAAAAACGCTTGAAAATCTTCTTCTTCAGAACCACCAAACAAAATGCTTCCATATATGAAATTTAGCTTCAATATACGAAGCACATTTAAGTTTGAAAAAATTGTTATGATTGGTCACATTGTTTGGTCGCCATTTTGGATTTCTTCTAGACAGGAAGTAGTTTTTTTTATCAAGCCACAATTATGTGATCATTTTCTAATCAGCTAAATTGCAGCTTTATAGTGACCTCTTTCA